ACTCACATAACTAAAATGGCATTTAGCGTACGGATATGTACCACGCTAAATGATCGATTAATCACGGATTGTCGATCTGTGATTTATTCAAAATATTAAACACGTTACCATGGCAACACGATGTCTTAAGCACATCACCATGGCAACGCAGTTCATTGAATACAGCTTCAGTAATTTGAGACATGTCTGGCCTGTCAATTGTATTAACTGTCAACTGTTATATTCCAACTTTGTATCAGAATTATTCAAACAATATTCGTTTGTATCAGAATTCTTCATTAAAAATATATGCGAAATGTAGACGAAAGTGAAATCGAAGAGAATGTTCTGGTATACTTGCATATCTCCAAGAAGTGTAAAAATGAAGCATCCATCTTTGAGAACAATTCATTTATTCTGCGCTAAGCATGACAATAAACTTGAAACAAAGGTTAGTAAGCAATGGGCTGGGCACATCTACAAACAATATCACTTATACGTGTCTCTCTGGATGCATGCAGTTGCATGTATTATGTTCTCAATTCTCATTCCTTTCGAATTATTTTGTAGGTTAGCAGGAATAGCAGGTATGTTAATGTAATTTTCGGAGTTCGTAGAAAAAGCATAGTATGTAACGCGTTAATAAAAACTCTTCTAGACACTCGTTTATTAAACACTCGCTCCGCTTTGCCCCGCTCGTGCTTAAAATACTCGTTACTAAGAGGACGTTTATAACACTTGTTACATAATATATTATTTTAGACGAAATCTATGATCTGATGTGCAAAATCTGCACAACACAATACCACATTCTATGTGGTGATATTAATATATACTCTTTGACAGAAACTTGTGAATAGAGAAAAATTGAAAACATATTCTATGAATTTGACATGTGAAATGAACCCACACGTATCAATAGAAGCATAGATGCAATGTATACAAACCTCCAACCAACCGATTGCCATGTCGCAAGATACGCATCTTTCAGATCCTGAATTTCAGATATGTACATTCCCATCGTTACCTAGACAAGTTTGAAGTTGATAATATGCCTTGTAACGATGTTGATCTGCTGCACCTTCTGTACATAGTGATTAAAAAAAATTCGGATTCGAGTTTTTTTCTTTCCTTTGCATTTTCTGAGAACATCTACCATAGTATACATTTTCTTGCATTATCAGAAAAAAGAGATTTCAACGAACAAAAAACGCCCCGAGTTTTTTTAAAAAACTGATATTTTGACGGGAGAATTTTCGATTGAAAATTAGGGTGTTATTTCGATATTATGTCAATATAAGGTGAAAAAATGAATATTTCAAACCAAAAAAATTACAGTGTGTTTAATACATGAAAAGGAAAGTTTTGACCAAATTTCGTGAAAAAATTTTTTTTTTGCATAAGAAAAATAAAAAACCAAAAACTTGATTATTTGAATAGAATATTCCACACAACTTTTGAGGTTATGTGAAAAAAGTGTGATCACAAAAGTTGTAGGTCTCTTTCTTACCTACAACTTTGCTATTCAATTTTTTTCCATAGGTCTCGTGGTTTTGCTGGAAATCAAGATAAACCGTTTTTTACCCTTGAAAACTCACCCCCTACCACTTCCCGACCTCAGATCGCCCGTAATGTATCTTCCCTTTAATCTTTGTTATATTCTCTTTCTTTTTCAATGAGTTTCATCCTACTATGATTTTTCTTCACATTTTACCGTTTTCAAAGGCTTCAGCACTGATCTAGTAAAGAAAGCCGGAAAATTATTAATGAAACCAGAAAAAATTCAAGTATCAATGACTGAGCTCGCTATTAATAATCATAATGTCATAGACAAAGCCAGCATTGCAATCACTTTAATGGTTTTTTTCATGGGAATCGAAAAAACAGAACCAAAAATAAATAATCTGAAATTGCCCCCGTACACAAATTCTACATTATTCCTGTACCCGACAACATATATGGAGGTACAAGAAATTATCACAAAATTAACAAAAACCCCATCACCCGGTATAGATGAAATTGGCAAGGCTCTAAGAATGGTTGGTGATTTTAAATGCTATCCACTATCTTACATAATAGATAAATCGTTTGTGCTGATAGATCATTCTCCTATAATGCCTCAATCAATATACCAATAGTAGTTAGGAATGGAAAGTCATTTCCGAGCTCCAAAATATCGTACAAGAATCACTTACTAGGCATATAGCACACATGGCGTCTCCAGGTCAAAAGCCAGGTTAATGTGTGTGCAAGTCTAAAATTCTTTTAATTACCTGATCTGGATTAATATCCAATAATTATTGTGAAGTTTAATAAGTGTGTGTGGAAATAATCAAGCCCTTTTTTCTCTACGCCGGTATAGAGACCGGATGATGACGGATTCATCGGGTAAAGGGGCCATACTTGAAATCAAACGTGCTCCAGTAGGAGCACATACGACAGAGTCGATAGATAATATTACAACATTACCCATATACAGGGTGTTTCAAAAAAACCTAACCCCCTTGCTAGGGTAGGTAGAACACTGCAAAATAAGTTGGGTTTGCTCAGTGAAAAAATGTCGTAACGGCATTCGTTTTCATGATACAAGGTGTTGAAAAATTGATTTTTTTACACATTTTTCACAATTATGTCGAAACTACTGGTATCATTGTGATGAAATTTTGTATGAATGTTTCTTGAAATCTGACACATCACATGAATTTGTTTTTATATCTGACTCTCAAAGAGGGCGCTAGTTACAGAGTTCGTACCGAGTAGTTTACAGCATAACTTTTTTGAGGTTATATTTTTCGATCCAAATATTATATGAACTCGAACATCGTTCAATTTTACACCAAAAAGGTACTCTTGGTGAAACTCGATACTATGTTCCGTTTTCGGAATATTTCGATTTGAAAATAATGGAGTAATAGCTGATGCTGGTATAAAATGAATTTTATTGAGTTCAATTACTTATTTATTCAGATTCAAAAACAAAAAAAATATTCTTGTGCTGAAGTTATTGATGGAACAAAGAATCATAAGTAGAAAATTGAGAGATATTTGACTTAAAACATGAAATATTGAATCAGTTAGAGTAAGTTAGTGTTCAAAATGTCCTACGTTTCGAAGAAAAAAACGATTCTATATTCTTCTCTTAAGAATGTATTATTCTTCTTAACAGTTGAGGATCACCTGTTAGGTCATTTTAGTGATGTTCAATTATGTCTCACAACTCTTGACGTGAATTTACCTATGTAGCATAGACTTTCTGCTCAAGATACAACAGAACTGTGTAATCCATGTTCTTAGTCAAATCTGTTTCGATATTATTCTTGTAATTCATTGTTCAATCAATAAGTTCAGCATCAGAAATGTATTGTTGTTTTTGGTTTTCAATTAATAGGTGATAATTTTTCATAGTACTCTAATACATAGCTTTATACCAGCAACAGTTATCACTTCATCATTTTCAAATCGAACACAGTATCGAGTTTTACCAAGAGTACCTTTTTGGTGTGGAATTGACTGATGTTCAAGTTCACATCAAATTTGGATTGAAAAATCTAACCTCAAAAAAGTTATGTTCAAAACTACTCGGTACGAACCGTGCAACTAGCGCCCTCTATGAGAGTCAGATATAAAAACAAATGCATTCGATGTGTAAGATTTCTAGAAACATCCATACACAATTTCACTACAATGGTGCTGGTAATTTCGATATGATCTTGAAAAATGTGTAAAAAAATCATTTTTTCAACACCTTGTATCTTGATAACGGATGCCGTTACGAAATTTTTTTACTGAGTAAACCTAACTTATTTTGCAGTGTTCTACCTACCATAGTAAGGGAGTCAGGTTTTTCGAAACACCCTGTATAATTCTTGAAAAAATTTAATTAACTGATCTGGAGAAACTGTTACCGGAAGGAGACAGAAATTCAATGAACCCAAAAGAAGAAGAAGAAGAAGAAGAAGAAGAAGAAGAAGAGTATAGTTGAATAAAAGACGAACTTCCACTCTAATCGACGCAGGTTCTCATGAGGATATTCGAAATTGTCGTATATGCCCGTAGAAGTCCGCTAAGAATTCAAAGACCAAGAGGAACTGCCGCCCAAAACGAAGCCGCCCTTAAAAATCGTTCCTGTTGTCCAACCTGGTTGAGCCTTGTTGTCAAACGGTATACGACACTCTGGGCATCAAGCCGAGAATGTCGAATTGTTCATTCAAAGTTCATCGATCATTTTGTCGGGCAGCTTGAGTCGACTTTAAGATGCATCTTTTGTGATAACTGTTCGGTGACATTTGATCCCTTTTGGGAGTTGTTTTTTCCAATAACACAGGGATCAGGCTAAATCAGGTTTTCTCATTGCTTGGACTTGTTTACCAGTCTCGATATTTTAGCTGGTCAACCAACCAACGTGCAAAGAAAAAAGAGAATGTTTGAAGTCATTATCTATCCACAAATTCCTAAAATGTTGATAATCCATCTGAAACTATTTTTGCTTCCAGAAAAGTTCAGTCAGAAAATAAATGCCCTTGTCGACTTCCCTTTACCAAAGAAGGGAAGATTTGTATTTCGTGCACTTCCCTTTAGACTGCTTGGACATCAATCTTTACGCAGCTGGCGACATCGTTCCTTGTATTTACAATCTGTACATTTCCATACAAAAAATTGGCACATTTTTCTGTATCTTAAATTTCGTCAAATACTCTCGTCAGTGGGAAAGCTTATATTCCTTGCAAAATCAGAACACTACCCAATTATTCACCTTACCCAAGAGTTGTCGGAGCCAGTTATGAGACTTTATTTACCCATTTTTATTTACGAAAATGAATAAAAAGTTGTAGTAAACTTTATATCAATCATAGATGAACAAACCCAAAGTCATCTGCACATCAATTATTGGACGATCAGAGATGTTGTGGAGATGACTTTGGGTTTCTTCATCTACGAAATATACCACTCCACTTTGAGTTACCATGGACTTCTTCCAGAGATTACTTTATATCGATATTCAAAATTGTCGTTTGTTCAAGGTGCCAGTGGAAATCCGCGAAGAATTCAAGGAACACGAAGAACCGCCGTCCAAAACGAAGCCGCCAGCAGAAATCATCGTGGCTCATGTCGCCCAGCCTGTTGCCCAACTTGTTGCGCAACCCGTTCACGAATCGGGCAGGCCGAAACGCAGCTGCGTCGGCCAATCGGTGTGCGACACGCTGGGTATCAAGCCGAGGAAGCCGAGGGGACCGGGCAGAGGCAGGGGCGGCAAGCGAGGGATGGGCGGCCGGGCGGCGTTAAGCAAGGTGAGTGGGGTGACGGTTTTGGGTTAGGGGAGGGGTGTCATGGGTTTGGTGTTTCGTTGCGTTCGCTGTTTTTTTGGTACGGGTGTTGAAGGTATGTTGACAGAAATGTTTCGGGCTATTTGTTATGAAACTATTGCGCTACACCCATTTAAACTTGAACCGTTTTTTGTAACGTCTCAACCCATACAGAGTAATTTATGTAGGCTAGTTTTTAAACTTGCAGTTGGATTAGTAAGTTCAAAATTGATATACTGTTTTACTCGGTCATTTCGAATCAACTTGAAATATTTTTGGTCTTCAAGCTATACAGGGTATGCCATAAGTCGGCACCAACTTCCTTATTTAAAAAAGAAACCTACTCTTGTCACACGATTCGATCGGCCTTCTGATTCTGAGTTCAGACAATCCAATTCCTATCACAGTTTTTGATACATATTGAATTTTCAGAAGATAATCACCCCTCTAGTAGTTTACGAAAACATTTGTATCTGGCAAACCATTTAAAAATATGCATCCTTGTGGAACAATTGGAAGTCCAGGCTATCTCTTGATGCCTCAAAGGTTGGTCCATTTTGTACCATATGGGCGCAGGCGATTTCCAAATATCCTATTTAAAAAATTTGTCGAAACCTCAATTTCTTCAAATGGCTTCTACAACTTTTTTCTGTCACCATAAAAAAAACGAAAAAAACTATTTGAGCATTCTCTATTAGACCGTTGGCCCATAACACTAGGGGTGTCGATTATCTACGAAGGTATGCCCTTCAAGAGACATGAAGATTGAGTTGGATTATCGGGAAAAAAGTGGTTAGTTGGATCGGTACCCGGTTGCCCATCTCCCTAATCAATCAACTTCCTGTTGAAAGTATTGTTGAAAATTGTATTATAGAAGAAGCTTTAAAATTCATTGGAATAGTCGCATCTCGCCAAATTAACCGGGCGCTAGCCGATTTGCATACGTCTAGGTCGGTCCCGAAGGGCGGCATACGGACCGCAAGTTACCGTTAACCGACATTTCTCTTAGATTATTTACGATGGTATGCCCTTTGGTTAATTCCTTCATTTCGACCCATGAATCAATGCCATAACATTTGCATACAGTTTGGGTGGGCGAATTTAGACATATTCGAAGGTCACTTTACATCATCGATTATATATATCAAGATTATATAATTTTGTATGCCATTCAATCAGGTGATAGATTCAGTTATACTGAATAAGAAAATAGCGTTTGCATACGAATGTATTGTGAGCATACGTCGATTTTGCTATAGGAAGTCTATTTTTTTCAGTTTTTCTAATATTAAAAAGTTGAAACTGGAAATTCCAGGATGATCGAGTGCCAAGGGCTCTCAGGGAGGTTTCGGGGTCACTAAGCTCGAATCTGGCACCTACTACTAGTGCCGGGGGCCGGGGATGATAGAGGATGACTCTAGGGGGGATGTCAGGGGGCGCATTTGCAGAACCAGCAGATAGTCTTGTTGGATTCTATGAATCTGATCCTCTTGGAGTTACAATGGGAGTTCCTAAAGGATCAATTTTGGATCCCATGTTTTTTGTTATTTTCATGAACGATATTGTAATATTCCCCTGAGAGGGGCTCGAACATCATCAAGAAGGCGTATAACGATCTTCCTGTATCACGCGTATCAGATTGTTCCCGAGTATCCCAATAATTCTAACATGAATTAGCATATTTTCGAACACCCAATATGTGTCGCAGCGACAGAAACATCTCGAAACAATCGATGGAACTATTAGAGAGAGAGAGAGAGATACTTTTCTATGAGAAGCTTCGAGAACAAAAGAAGGGTACCGATGATTTTCGGGAACATTCGACAAGCATATAGCCAGCCAAATCATCTGATAAATAAGGACGACAGGACAGCAGGTGGTCAGTGATTGTCAGAGAGACAGCCATATACCGCGTGATATAAATGGTTCGACATAAAGAGTAGTTATATGTTTGTTATAAATGAGTGTTCGTTCCCTTTCGTGAAATAAATCAGTTCGTAAATAAATGGCGGTGTTCGCTTCTGCATACAAATAACGTAACAATATTATACATAATAATTAGTTTCTTAGTGGTTTTTGAACCAAACACTGATTTTTCGAAACTTCGACCTCGAATAACTCGAAACGGGTAAATCGGGACGAGTTTTGTGTAAGTTCTAAAGTTAGAAAGAATTTGATTGTCGATATCTTGAGCTCTTACAGGGTGTTGAACGAATTTTGCCGCCATTTTTGCTAATTTTACTGGGCTAAATGTAATCCCCGCAACTCGCAAATCGTATGCAAATCATTATTCCATGCATAGTTTATGCTTAACTAACCTTGATCAGAATTTGGGAGCTTCGTAGATAATCTTGTACATACAGGTCAATGATGTAAAGTGACCTTCGAATAAGTCTAAATTCGCCCACCCAAACTGTATGCAAATGTTATGGCATTGATTCATGGGTCGAAATGAAGGAATTAACCAAAAGGCATACCATCGTAAATAATCTGAGAGAAATGTCGGTTAATGGTAACTTGCGGTCCGTATGCCGCCCTTCGGGACCGACCTAGACGTATGCAAATCGGCTAGCGCCCAGTTAATTTGGCGAGATGCGACTATTCCAATGAATTTTAAAGCTTCTTCTATAATACAATTTTCAACATTACTTTCAACAGGAAGTTGATTGATTAGGGAGATGGGCGACCGGGTACCGATCCAACTAACCACTTTTTTCCCGATAATCCAACTCAATCTTCATGTCTCTTGAAGGGCATACCTTCGTAGATAATCGACACCCCTAGTGTTATGGGCCAACGGTCTATATACCTAACTGAAACTTCCATTGAGGTGTTGATGAGAAAAAAATAATAGATGCTTTATCAGCCGAGATCTTTTGCCTTTTCACCTATGCCCAGATCACCCAACTACCCAGATATGAAATCTTTAATGGCTCAAAATTCGTTACCTTGAATAACACCACTATATAGGGTTACTGGCAATTCGAAACATTCCTCTGGAGATGTGGTAGGGGTGTGGTTAGAAGTTAATTTAAAATATGCATTATGCAGGAGTTGATAGTTTTTGAGATAATTAATTTTTTATGTATTTTTCCTTAAAAGTTAGTCTTCCGAAAATATGCTGAACATTTTTTCAACCTTTAAACTTTCATATATGAACAACAGGATCTTATGTTTGGAATGAAAAATCAGAAATAATTCAGATTATAGATATATTGTAAATACAAAGTATCTTTATTTGTGAATGTATTTATTTATATTAAATATCAATTGATAGTGAATAAAAGGTTGGGATAGGGACATAAAAACCGTTTTGACCAATTATGAATAGTTTCTACACAAAAAATTCCTAAAGTTGAAAAATTTCGATTTTTCACTTCCCATAACTCTGTAATTATTACTGCTAGACCCCAAGTGTTATAGGTCAATGAAATCAGCTCTTCAGGAAGAATCTGAAAATGGAATGATATATAGGGTGTCCCATTTAAAAAATCAAAGTTATTGCCACTTTCCTATATAAGTGGCAACGTTGCAATGCTGAGAACATATTTGGTCGATAGAATACAACTAATTATTCAAGGCACCAACTTTTCAGAATAATCCTGAGTTGCGTTCTCCAGAAACGTCTAATATGCCATCCACCGTGAATCAGCCTGTATATAATAACAAATCTGTTTCAAGCCCTTTTAGCTTCATTTGTACCCAGTTGGAATGTTTTTAAAGATTTTTCTAAAAATGACCGATATAATGTGTCAAAATCCACCATTCACAAATACGAATACAACTTTGTATTTACTAATCATCTATGATCTAAATTATTCTAGAATTCTTCCATTCCAAACATAAGACCAAAGTGTTGATCATGTATTCCAGTTGGATGATTGAAAATATGTACAGCAGATATTCAAGAAAATAACTTGTAAACGCTGAAAGTCTACCTTTAGGAGAAAACACAAAAATTCAAATATCTCAAAAACTGTAAACTTTTGCATAATGCATATTGGGATTAAATCCACACCTGATCATCCCCCATTACACCTCCAAAGGAATGTATGGAATTACCAGTAACCCTGTATACTGAGAAAAATATATCTCTAATTCCACACATCACCCTTCAACCTACACAAAAATACTAGTTGCCATTTAAAAATTTCGAATTGACTCGGCCGGCAGCATATTTTTACTGCCAAATATCAATAATAATAAGTTTTATTATACAATTTTATTGCTTACCAATAGACATCTATTTCCAACAAAGTTCTTACGAGAAGAGGAGGCGGGGGACCGCCTACGAGACTATCCTTCATTCACAGAACCCAAAAACACAACACTTCACTCAAATGTCAGGCAACGAGCATCATAGGCGTACTTTGATATTATTATTATGGAATACTATTTATAACATAGGAATGAAATATAACTTTAATCTTATAAGACACAATATTAATTCGTTTCCACTGAGTGGAATTCATTATAGTTAACCCTTTATTATTATTTTGTTTATATGTATTTATGTATCCCTATCATAAACAGAAATGTTTCTTGGGGTAATAAAGACAATCAATCAAAAACATTAACATAAGAAGGCCATTCGACCCGTGTGAAAAATATTTAGGTTCCTATTTCAAATAAGGAAGTTGGTGCCGACTTTTGGCACTTTCTGTATAGCTAGAAGACTCGAAATATATCAGGTAGATTGGAAATGATCAACATAACAGGATATCCATTTTCAAGTTTTCAATTCAACTTCAAGTTGAAGTGTGGTCAACGTTAATCACCCTGTATATCGCTATATTTGAAATAGGATCAATTTTAACTTCGAAATTGCCACAATGTTCATGTTCAAGTTATGAACATTGTGTGGATATCACTTTGAACTTTTTCTATTTATTTAAAATCAATTTTCACCAACTTGGGAGTAACTACTTCTAACTAATGCCTCAAACTTGCTGAGTTTCTCAAGTGTACAAATATAATTTTTAAAA